TTAAAAATACAGCATAATGCCAATTTCATGAGAGTTCAGCAGTACGCCCTCAGATTATAAAAGTACAAAGTCATGACATTTAATCAAAATGTCACATTTCAGTTTTCTGTTTCTGTTTTTTTTTGTTTCCACGTAAAAACAGCTACCACAAATAATCATCGGTGATTAGTGATATATCATATTAAAGCTCTTTCATTCTGGATTCGAATGAAACTTGAGAATTTTGAAAAAAAAGAATTTTGAAAAAAAAATCGGATAGTGTTTTAGACTACCATTTACATATACAGCCCCGATAAGTTCTTCAAATACATGTTAGGTTCGTGCGGGGTGCTGATGGTTGTTAAGATGTCAAAACACTAATATTAATAAATTTTCTTGCAAAATCAACCAACTGGTCTCAATGTTGATGGTATAATTTTGTGTCAAAATATTTTAAAATCAAATATCAACAAATAGTTTGATTAATAATATAGCATTATCTCAAATTCAAAAGAGTTCAGCAGTGCGCCCTCAGATTATCAAAGTTCAAAGTCATGACATTTAATCTAAATGTCACATTCAAGTTTTCTGTTTCTGTTTTTTTTTGTTTTCCACGTAAAAACAGCTACCACAAATAATCATCGAAAAGAGATTTGTGATATATCATATTAAAGCCCTTTCAGTCTGGATTCGAGTGAAACTTGAGAATTTTGAAAAAAAAAAGAATTTTGAAAAAAAAATCGGATAGTGTTTTAGACTACCATTTACATATACAGCCCCGATAAGTTCTTCAAATACATGTTAGGTTCGTGCGGGGTGCCGATGGTTGTTAACATGTCAAAACACTCTAAAATTAATATATTTTCTTGCAAAACCAACCAACTGGTCTCAATGTTGATGGTATAATTTTGTGTCAAAATATTTTTAAATCAAATATCAACAAATAGTTTGATTAATAATATAGCATAATCTCAAATTCAAAAGAGTTCAGCAGTGCGCCCTCAGATTATCAAAGTTCAAAGTCATGACATTTAATCTAAATGTCACATTCAAGTTTTCTGTTTCTGTTTTTTTTGTTTTCCACGTAAAAACAGCTACCACAAATAATCATCGAAAAGAGATTTGTGATATATCATATTAAAGCCCTTTCAGTCTGGATTCGAATGAAACTTGAGAATTTTGAAAAAAAAAAATTTTGAAAAAAAAATCGGATAGTGTTTTAGACTACCATTTACATATACAGCCCCGATAAGTTCTTCAAATACATGTTAGGTTCGTGCGGGGTGCCGATGGTTGTTAAGATGTCAAAAAACTAATATTAATAAATTTTCTTGCAAAATCAACCAACTGGTCTTAATGTTGATGGTATAATTTGTGTCAAAAAATTTTTTAAAATCAAATATCAACAAATAGTTTGATTAAAAATACAGCATAATGCCAATTTCATGAGAGTTCAGCAGTACGCCCTCAGATTATAAAAGTACAAAGTCATGACATTTAGTCAAAATGTCACATTTCAGTTTTCTGTTTCTGTTTTTTTTTGTTTCCACGTAAAAACAGCTACCACAAATAATCATCGGTGATTAGTGATATATCATATTAAAGCTCTTTCATTCTGGATTCGAGTGAAACTTGAGAATTTTGAAAAAAAAAAGAATTTTGAAAAAAAAATCGGATAGTGTTTTAGACTACCATTTACATATACAGCCCCGATAAGTTCTTCAAATACATGTTAGGTTCGTGCGGGGTGCCGATGGTTGTTAACATGTCAAAACACTCTAAAATTAATATATTTTCTTGCAAAACCAACCAACTGGTCTCAATGTTGATGGTATAATTTTGTGTCAAAATATTTTTAAATCAAATATCAACAAATAGTTTGATTAATAATATAGCATAATCTCAAATTCAAAAGAGTTCAGCAGTGCGCCCTCAGATTATCAAAGTTCAAAGTCATGACATTTAATCTAAATGTCACATTCAAGTTTTCTGTTTCTGTTTTTTTTGTTTTCCACGTAAAAACAGCTACCACAAATAATCATCGAAAAGAGATTTGTGATATATCATATTAAAGCCCTTTCAGTCTGGATTCGAATGAAACTTGAGAATTTTGAAAAAAAAAAAGAATTTTGAAGCCCTTTCAGTCTGGATTCGAATGAAACTTGAGAATTTTGAAAAAAAAAATTTTGAAAAAAAAATCGGATAGTGTTTTAGACTACCATTTACATATACAGCCCCGATAAGTTCTTCAAATACATGTTAGGTTCGTGCGGGGTGCCGATGGTTGTTAAGATGTCAAAAAACTAATATTAATAAATTTTCTTGCAAAATCAACCAACTGGTCTTAATGTTGATGGTATAATTTGTGTCAAAAAATTTTTTAAAATCAAATATCAACAAATAGTTTGATTAAAAATACAGCATAATGCCAATTTCATGAGAGTTCAGCAGTACGCCCTCAGATTATAAAAGTACAAAGTCATGACATTTAGTCAAAATGTCACATTTCAGTTTTCTGTTTCTGTTTTTTTTTGTTTCCACGTAAAAACAGCTACCACAAATAATCATCGGTGATTAGTGATATATCATATTAAAGCTCTTTCATTCTGGATTCGAATGAAACTTGAGAATTTTGAAGAAAAAGAATTTTGAAAAAAAAAATCGGATAGTGTTTTAGACTACCATTTACATATACAGCCCCGATAAGTTCTTCAAATACATGTTAGGTTCGTGCGGGGTGCCGATGGTTGTTAAGATGTCAAAACACTATTATTAATAAATTTTCTTGCAAAATCAACCAACTGGTCTCAATGTTGATGGTATAATTTTGTGTCAAAATATTTTTAAATCAAATATCAACAAATAGTTTGATTAATAATATAGCATAATCTCAAATTCAAAAGAGTTAAGCAGTGCGCCCTCAGATTATCAAAGTTCAAAGTCATGACAATTAATCTAAATGTCACATTCAAGTTTTCTGTTTCTGTTTTTTTTGTTTTCCACGTTAAAACAGCTACCACAAATAATCATCGAAAAGAGATTTGTGATATATCATATTAAAGCCCTTTCAGTCTGGATTCGAATAAAACTTGAGAATTTTGAAAAAAAAGAATTTTGAAAAAAAAATCGGATAGTGTTTTAGACTACCATTTACATATACAGCCCCGATAAGTTCTTCAAATACATGTTAGGTTCGTGCGGGGTGCCGATGGTTGTTAACATGTCAAAACACTCTAAAATTAATATATTTTCTTGCAAAACCAACCAACTGGTCTCAATGTTGATGGTATAATTTTGTGTCAAAATATTTTTAAATCAAATATCAACAAATAGTTTAATTAATAATAATGCATAATCTCAAATTCAAAAGAGTTCAGCAGTGCGCCCTCAGATTATCAAAGTTCAAAGTCATGACATTTAATCTAAATGTCACATTCAAGTTTTCTGTTTCTGTTTTTTTTGTTTTCCACGTAAAAACAGCTACCACAAATAATCATCGAAAAGAGATTTGTGATATATCATATTAAAGCCCTTTCAGTCTGGATTCGAATGAAACTTGAGAATTTTGAAAAAAAAAGAATTTTGAAAAAAAAATCGGATAGTGTTTTAGACTACCATTTACATATACAGCCCCGATAAGTTCTTCAAATACATGTTAGGTTCGTGCGGGATGCCGATGGTTGTTAAGATGTCAAAACACTAATATTAATAAATTTTCTTGCAAAATCAACCAACTGGTCTTAATGTTGGTATTATTTGTGTCAAAATATTTTTTAAAATCAAATATCAACAAATAGTTTGATTAAAAATCAGCATAATGCCAATTTCATGAGAGTTCAGCAGTACGCCCTCAGATTATAAAAGTACAAAGTCATGACATTTAATCAAAATGTCACATTTCAGTTTTCTGTTTCTGTTTTTTTTTGTTTCCACGTAAAAACAGCTACCACAAATAATCATCGGTGATTAGTGATATATCATATTAAAGCTCTTTCATTCTGGATTCGAATTAAAGTTAAAAATTACCAGGGATTTGGAAAAAAAATTGGGAATCAACTTCAGAAAATTTTAGAAATCAGCAAAAAAAAATTAATTTTTTTTTGATTTTTTAAGGTTTTTCTGTTTTTGTGTCCTGTTTGCCTATATTACTATGACTGTCGAACATGCGCTAATTATAATTTTATGTCAGATCCTTTTAATCACATCACGCGGAAAAAACTACACTAATTTGAAAAAAAAAAATTTGTAATTTTTCAAAGACTATGGTACTTGCTGAGATACGTTAACTTTTCATGTTAAAAAAATAAAATCAGCATAACCTTCAAAGGTAGCCCATAGTGAATCCCAAACATTTGTCTCAATAACAAGCGAAGTTTCTGGGACCAATTCATTACATCAAGGTTGCAGAAATTCAATAAAAACTGTAGTAAAAAAATCCCATAATTTGCTAGTTGCTCCGACTTTCGAAGTGAGGGACAATATATGCTTCGAATGGGTTTTGGAGGCTAATTCGGCCAATTAACCTGCCGTATACGCGGATTATATCTTTCCTATATGATACGGATTAAATCTTTCCTATTTGAATTGAAGCAAGTAATTTGGTCCAATTCAAGTAATTTGGTTATTAAGTTACGAGACGCTAAATACATCCATTTCCTTATAGCGTGTGGGGGGAGGATAAAAGGAAGAAATTTTTTTTCGATTATTTTATCATCTTAACAACCCAAAATTTTTTAATTGGACTGAAAAAAGCAGTCTGAACATTCAGCGCTTTGCACTGACAAGGAGCAGTCATTTTGATCAATACTACTCACTGCAAAATCACGCTCAAGAGATTGTTGAAAAAAATTGTTGCGATTGGTTGCAAGCCACCGAAATCCTATCCAACATCGTGATTCAACTCAGCCTTTTAAAAGTAACACTTCCTTTTGTATTATCAATAAATACGACTATCCTATCTTTCTTGAGTGTGGTGCCGATAAAAAACATAAACATTAATCAATTAACAAATATGATTTTACCTAGACTTGTCAGTTATCTCTTTTTGCATCATTCTTAGTTTCGCCGGTGGAATATAGGCACCTCCAGTCCTGTTTGTGATGTCCGTACTTCCCACGTTTGCGTTCCCAGATACACCATTGCTGGCTTTCGACATTCCTCTCCCAGTTTCTTGAGACCCCGGAGATCGCCCTTTTTCGCCATTTGGCCCAGACTTACTGGATGACGACGCTTTTGGTTCCGTACGCTCAAATGTCTTTCTAGTTTTTTTCACTTTCTCTGTCGGTGTCTGTTTCAATTTTTTAGGAGTGGGCTCTTCAATTTCCGAGGAGTTAGAGGATGAATCAGAATTCGTCATAATTTATCTAAAAATATCAAAGATTCTAAAAACACCTCTTGCGAAAATTCTCTCCCCTTACAAAATACGATTTGAATCACAAATTGGATTTACCTATTCTTTCAAGATTAAACTAAATTCGATTCTATATCAAACAAAAACGATTCTAAGGTGAGGTGATGACTATGATGCAGTGCTATGATCAGTTAATGGTCTCTCTATACTTGGCGAGCTGTTTTTACTTTTACATGACACCAAGTCCCATTGACAGCCATTCGACAACCGCCACACGAACACATTTCCGTGAGTTGTTGATCCAACCAGCTGTGTACCCGTAATATTCCAGGCCAGACGCCAAATAGCACAATGAGGGTTGTTGAAATTGGGAGGATAGCTCAGAGACGTTCTTGAAAGCGCATTCGAGCTTTTGATTTGGTACACTATCATCGTTGCTGATCCAATCGCTAGGAGTTGGAACGACCTTCCAAGTACAGGGGCGAAACAACAAGCTCTTACTGGACTATCCACGTTTAGCTTTGAATCGTCAAATGAAATGAAGGACATGTTTTTAGGTTTCCCTCGATCTGTGGGTTTAATGTCGACTTGAAACAAATTAAAATACGATTGCTGTTTGCTGTCGTAATCCGAGGCCACATCTTCATGTGAAATCACCTCGGATCCCACGGCAACTAACAGGTTACTCCGCGTTGACTCGCTAAAGGCTAGGCAAGCTAAAGAGGCGTATTTGATATTGATATGTACTATTTCCTTCCATGATTTGAGGTCATTTTCAGCACCCATTATTCGGACATAGCCGTCTACGGAACACATACCAAGTGCTAGACCTATATGAGGCGGTGTAAATTTGACATCTGTGACCAGATTATTTAGTCTATCTTCGAAAGAATTGACAGCTACCCACCGTTTGCGACCCAGATCGTTGTTGTCACCGGGAACTGCTTCAAACAGACGAACCCTTTTGTTATCGAACGAACACGTGGCTAGGATCTGTCCGAACTGAGGATGCGCCCATGTTACCTACGACCAAAACTCAACTTTCGCAAGCAGAAATAACTTTTACAAGATAAGAAGCAAGAAAAAGCTCGGCTCTTTTACAGTTTCCCTCGCCACCAATGAAATTGTATTTTGTTGGTGACCCACTTAATTTACAAGGTTGTGTATGAAGACCAAAGCGAAACTAGGAAATTACCACTAATCCCGAATTTCAAATAATATTGGCATTTCAAAGTTTCAGTGGGAAAAAAATCACGTGGGAGGGAAGACTACAAATTCAATGGCGGTATCTATGGTTTCAACAATAAACTTTTAAGTTACCTTCCAAGCGGTACCTCCGTGCTCTTTGATACTGCTGTCTCGCACCCATTTACCACTGTCATCCAGGGTCCAAATGAAGACAGTCTGGTCTGCGGAACACGATGCCAGGCGTCTTTTCTGGGAGTCGAACGAGATATCATAGATGACGTCAGAATGGGGAGTGGTGAATTTCGAGGCCAGTTCAGGATTGGTCGCGTGGACTAGGAAGTCGAACTCACAGGGGGTTGGATTTGGGGCACTGGAGGGAGGGGATGAGTTTCGATAGAGCATGCCTCAATCGCTCTGAAAAACAAGAAAGCTCATTTTCTCTATTCTTGATAGCGATAACGTTAAAGTCCACATTTGAGTCAACTATGGTCCTTAAAACTTTTACTCTCTTTTCAGTTAAATTATTTCGAAGTTTTCAGAACGCCTTTCTATAACAACAACAAAAAATTCATAATTATGTCAAAACAAGATTTGCTTACACTTTATTTAAATTATTTACACCAGTGATCTATCGCAATTATTTACATCATTTATGAGACACTCCCCAAAATCAGAGCAAATAGTCGCCCGAGAAAATACACGAATACATTTCATAGAACTTTAATGGCAATTCCATCGCACCATAAATCATTTTCATTACTGCTAAGCAATACTGCTGAACTCAATTTTCACTCACGTATTAATTATGTCATGAGATGATAATTTCATCGATCAATTTAATAGTATCTTCAGGACATGTCACAGTGTGCCCTATTGTTCTTTCGTCGCTGAAAATCTCATAATCATTTCCTCCTGGCGATGTCTTGTCGCCCACAAAATGAATACTTTCGTGCGTTTTCTCCACAAATTGCAAGCAGTACGTCTTATCCCACCCAACTGGGAAAACATCGATACTTATCTGACCTCCAATACTAAACTTGATATTGCACGATGAAAACTTATCTTCCAATGCTTTGACCATGTCACTTCTGATTCCATGTTGCTTGTCATATTGGAAAAACTCGTCTCGTTCCTTCTGAGAACAGGCACGCCCTATTGGGCTCACATTAAGCATGCCTCTTCTGTATTCGACAAAGGTTCCTCTCTTGCATGGAAGTGTGATTTGAGACATGTATAACAGGCAAAAATTGATGATTTCCTGTAGTTTTTCCTCTCCTATTTCTTGAACCATTGAATTCTTGGAAAGTTCAATATAGCCTAAAAAGTTGAAAAATTTTGGTCGTTTGAAATAAATGTTCAAAGTATGTTTGGATCGTGTCAACTTGTTAAGGATGTTAACATGATCGGTCTTCTTTCATGTGTTAGAGGAAAATAATGGGCCGGGACATAGCCCACTCTTATTCGAGAATTTGACAACTGCGGCATGAGTTGTGCCCTCAAGGCTGTTTAAACATTTCACATTGACAGAAACAATTTCAATTTATATGAAAACAATTCAATGGAACCCAACTAAGGAGTACCAACATCGGTTGCATTGTCATTTAATTTGGACCGATCCGCTCGTTTTAATAGCATGACTTTGATTATAATAAATTGACGAATTATATCACTTAAGACGGAATTTTTTTTCCAACCGATCGATGCAAGTCAAAGTATCTCAACTATAATACATTTTCAACAAAGAGTGATATTTTCAGCTTTGTGCTATAGAATTTTTTTCATAAAAATTCTGCTTCAGAAATACTCAGTACCTTCATTTTCAGTCGCATCTTTCTGAAAGGCGACAAGTCCATTTTCACTGAACACGTAATCAAATGCAAACTTCAGCGCCTCTTGAGTCTTGCACAGTTGCTCTGCTATTTTACTCACATCACTGCCGCCTACAATTCCAACTGAGAACCCACTGTCAGACAATTTAGCCAGTGCTTCCAGCATATTTGAGGTCACTTGGTTCCGAGGCATCGTCAAAGTGCCATCAACATCAAAAAGGACCAGAGTATCTTTCTGGTTATTTGTCATTTTACCTGAAAAATATCAGCAATGAGACACAAATTCCGTTATTCCACTCTGACAGAAATGTGGAAAACACCATTTTGTTTTAACCGTTGTGTTTAGGAAAGGTTGTATTTAAATATAAAAGGAGCTCAGAGCTACACGGCAAGTGAGAAGATCAAGCGACAGTGAACTAATTTATAAAGAGGAGAAACAGATGGCGATGAATGCCAGCTAGGATTTCCTCAGAGAAACAATGATGTTCTGTATCAATAGTGTACCGTACATTATGGTGCTAGCGAAATAAGCCGATACAGTATAGAATTTCAAAGATTTAGATTTCAAAGCATAGAAGCACCGGATCGGAGACAAAGGACAGCAAAAATCAAACTTCACAGCAAAATCAAGTCTTCAATGGAAAGTCTTTGAAATTAACATTTCAATATACAGTCAATGCATCATTATTTGTATCACAAAAAAGTTACGCTGATCCTTTAGACACCGGTTTAGACAACAACTTATGTCAAATTGTAACACATAATTGTAATGCAAACTTAGCATGACAGCTAGTTGAAACAAAATGCGGCCGAAAGCTACCCACTGAAAGAAAAACTGAAAAAATGCTAGAACCTACCGCAAAATTAAAAACTTAATACCTATGTCTCAAATGAAATTCTATTTGTTAAAACCTGTCTTAAAACAAGATTATTAGCGTTAAATTAGCATTAAGACAAAATATTCTGGGCGGTAACTACCCAGACAAAACTTGAGCCCAAAGGACCATAAAACATTTAGAAAATACAATGATTTTTGAATTTACAAATATATTTTGGCTGTCCAGACGACTTAAAATGAATCAACTAAACTGCTATAACACGCGATACAGTCGAAGACAAAAAAACCTTTACAGCTAAAAAAAAAGGTTTGGAAATCGGTTACCTTTTTTGTTAACATTACAACATTACAAATACGTATTTTCAAGTGGTTTAAGTAACCGACAAAAAAAGCAGACTCAAGATTCCAAAAAATCATAAAAAATCATTGAGCAAAAATTTTACTTGGCCGAATACTATAACCAAGCTTTTGTCTTTCCAAACATGGGCATAACCTCTCGGCTAAATGACTGAAAAATCATAGAATTTGAAGTTAATGTAGAGCAAGGTCGTTGCTAAAAGAACATTTTGTTAAAGAAAATGTTTAACTGAAAGAAAACCGATTGTTACAATTTGATAACGCTTACTTTTGTCAAATCATAAAAATTTTTTTTTTCAATTTTGGCGATAATGAAAAAAGTTCGATAGGCCAATAACTGAAGACAATTTTTAAAAATTTCTCGATCATAACTAGAACGAAGTCGACAAGTTGGTAAAAACTAAGTCTAAACGAACTAGGACGAAGAAAAACTAAACAGCCATGCTGAAAAAAACTTACATTTATTTCAAACTTTTTCTTCACTAACAGAAAATTTTAGTTGAATCGACCAAAAACTTGAATTATTTATTCGCTGCTGAGAAATCAGTTGAAGGCGTACAAAAACAATACCTAACGCGATAAATTACAAGTGCATCAGGGAGAAAAAAACTTGAGCGAAAATATGAAAACATGTTTTCTGGTTTTTTCCAACTACTGATTCCTAAAACTCAAAAATTCTGTTGACGAAAAAAGTTATCGAAAAATCATACAACAATATAGCGCAAACTTATTATTTCAATTACTTTCTACAAAAAAAGACTTAGTAAAGATAGCATGCCACTCAAAAACTATCGATAAAAATTTTTAAAAAGCTAACATAGTGAAAAGAACTAAAATTCGAAAAATCAAACCATGAAAAAAATTTAAATGTTTTTTTTTCTAATTGAAAGGATTGACCCGCAACCTAAATCAGGCTTTTAAAAAAGACCGATGAGCCGTTTATGCTTTGTAAAATTAGGAGAATAATATCATTTTTTCCTGTTTATTAAGAGTAAGTTTCAAAATCCATTTAGTCTGAAACTGAGACAGCTATAAGTGCTTTAATCTGATACACACTAGACAGCCCATAAGTTTTCCTTATGTTACCTAAAATATGCCGAAAAAAATTACAGACACCATTATTATTCCATTCACTTCCATTGAATTGATCGGAAAATTGACATTTATAATGAGAACAAGAGTGTCCGGTTCCGGTGATTATTATAATCAAAAACAATGACCAAAAAAAAATTGAAACAAAAAATGTATAATCGAACACGCGATTGTTATCATTGCCCAATTTTATATGTGCAAAAATTGATCCTGCCAGTTTTTTTTAGGAAACGAGAGAACTTTCTAAATAATCTCAATCACGATTCATGGGGCTTTGAAATGATACTGAACCTCGTCCTCTGAACTTTTCGAAGTACCTGAAATTGCCAAAAAAACACCAAATTTCTCACAATTCCCTGAGCAGAACAAAAAAGCGTACAAATCAACCATAAAAATAACTATGGTTTATAGTAAATTAAGGTTATGTTCGAAGTTTTTTTAAAAAGAAAAAGGAGCCAGAAAAACAAAAAAACTTAAAAAAATGAAAAAAGAAGGTTTTTAAAGAGACCCTTGTGGGGTTGATTTTGAGCATTCGAAAGTATGGAGCCAGAGTATTATCGGTCTTACAATGAAAACGGAAAATTAATGGAAACAAAATATTAGGTAGAAAAAACAACATAATTAAAGACAACAGCTAGTAAGTTAGAAATCAACCGTACTGCCCACGAGTGCTTTATATATAATGAATGCAAGGTGATATGCCCAAACCGGAAACTAAGCCACTAGAGTCTCAGTCGACAACCATATAGCGGCAAACTTGCGATGTAACAAAAACATAAGCACAACAAACTAGCAGACAGAAATTGAGACAAAAACCTCTGGTCAAAAAATCGTGAAAATAAAATGGTTTCACGATAACCAGATTAACTAACATTTTCATATCTTTTAATCAAATTTTCCGGAAAGTTATTTCACAAAAAATATCAATCAAAAATATCAAGCCAAATAAGACAACTGAACGTTAAATTTGCATCAAAACATAACTTACATAGCAGTAACAAGCCGAAAATAATAATTGCAAGCATAATAATGACATTCGTAAAAATTCTGTTTTCACTAATCGCCAAAGCAAAAAATCTTCATTTAAACAACATATCCGCAAAAAATGTAACTCAATTACTTCCACTAAGGGCATTCAGAAGGTTGGAAGAAACCTGAGTCCATGCAACGGGAGCTAAGCCAAAAAATATATAAATAGACATACAATAGCCCGAAAAAGTAAAAAAATTTCTGGTTAAAAACATTTCCAGGCCGGATTCGAACCACAAGCCATTGTCGTTTCAAGCATACTTTTATTGATTTTGAAAAAAGCAAGTTGAAACGAGCAAAATCTTGTGAACAACGTTGTATACAGAAAAAAATGTTAAGTACCCGATTTCAACACCCTTGCTTTTTGCAAGGGGTAAATATATAATGCTGCAATGTCTGATTTAGAGCAAATGAAACACGACTGACCCCGCTTCAAAAAGATCAGAGACTCTAATTCATTTCCAGCCAGAACTAACGACACCAAATTTTACGCAATTTTTTGGTGAAATACATCTTTCTCAATAAAAAAAAATATCCAACGCTTGAACTATTCGTTCCCAGAAAAATTTTATAGTTCACGCTAAAACGGCACTAGTTCGTCAACTACGCCAGACAAAAATCTGCACTTCGCATACAAAAGCAAATAAGGACAGCCGGTCGCTGAGCAAGTAGAACAGAATGTTCCGACCACAATCTCAGCAAAATTATTTTTTTGTTCAAGTTAGAGTCTTTTCTTGTGAGATAATAGAACTATAGGAACACGTATTATTTTAAAAATTTTTGCAATTAAAATTGAAAAAATTATTTCAAGTTTTTTTTTGCCAAAGAAGCGCTAAATGAAGCTTCTAAAACTAGTGTTTTAAACTAAAATGAAGTTGTTTTTTGCCTAAATTGCTATTTTTCATATATGACGAACGTTACTCGATCGCTTTACTTGCTCGAAAATAGATGAAAAACCAAAAGCTTCAAACCGTTTTCTCTCGACACAGGAAAAAAATTTTGAAGTCGTTCGAATCACGACTGAAAGAGCTTAAATATGATATATAACTGAACCCAGTCCGAAAAAATTTTGTGGTTCCCGATTTTGCGTGGAAAACAAAGACATCTCCAACAAAGAAAATACAGATTTATTTTTTTAAAAAACTTTAAATTATTCAAGAGCAAATAAGGACAGCCGGTCGCTGAGCAAGTAGAACAGAATGTTCCGACCACATTCTCAGGAAAATTCTTTTTTTCTTCAAGTTAGTCTTTTCTTGTGAGATGATAGAACTATAAGAACACGTATAAATTTAAAAATTTTTGCACTTAAAACTGAAAATATTATTTCAGGTTTTTTTTTGCCAAAGAAGCGCTAAATGAAGCTTCTAAAACTAGTGTTTTAAACTAAAATCAAGTTGTTTTTTTTGCCTAAATTGATATTTTTCATTTATGACGAACGTTACTCGATCGCTTTACTTGCTCGAAAAAAGCGCAAAAAAACCAAAAGCTTCAAACCGTTTTCTCTCGACACAGGAAAAAAAAATTCGAATCACGACTGAAAGAGCTTAAATATGATATATAACTGAACCTAGTCCGAAAAAGTTTTGTGGTACCCAATTTTCGTGGAAAACAAAGACATCGCCAACATAGAAAAAACGGATTTATTTTTTAAAAAACCTTAAATTAGATTTAAAAATTTTTAGGAAAAGTCTTAAATAGATTTTAAAAGGTTTTATGAAAATAAAACGAAAAAAAAACATCACGACCTACATTAGAGTTTCAACTACGCTCAACGAGTTTTTCTCAACAACAAGAAAAAATTTTCAACCATTTTACATGTCGTTAGAATCACGACTGGAAGGACCTTTTTATGATATATGCCTCGACCCATTCCGATTATTTTTGAGGTAGCTGATAATGCGAGGAAAACAAAAAAAGAATAAAAACTAAAGGACATCCGAATACAAATTCCCTCCCCAATTTCAATGGTCCGA